ACGACAGTACGACAATTACAACAACATCTAGTACGCGACGACATGGCCTACATGCGCACACGACCACACGACAGTAGACAATACGACAATACCACAACACTAGTACGCGACGGACATGGCTACATGGCCACACGACCACACGAGCAGTACGACCAATACCACACACTAGTACGCGACGACATGGCTACATTGGCCACACGACCAACGACAGTACGACAATACCACAACACTCGTACGCAACGACAGTGGCTACATGGGCACACGACAGTACGACAATACGACAATACCACAACACTAGTACGCAACGACATGGCTACATGGCCACACGACCACACGACAGTACGACAATACGACAATACCACAACACTAGTACGCGACGACATGGCTACATGGCCACACGACTAGGGTCCCTGTATACAGAACCTGTATATAGGGACCCTACACACGACCACACGACAGTACGACAATACCACAACACTAGTACGCAACGACATGGCTACATGGCCACACGACCACACGACAGTACGACAGCACGACGATACGCGGCTACGCGGTACACGACAACATGACAATATGAGTTCGCACTACAATACGACAACACGGCTCACGGCTTGGCTACACGGATACAAACATTTCCCAATCGGCACATCAATTGCGTCTAGTCCCAGACCACTCAACTAACAGCCTTTAAACGGCTTGTCTAAATGCTGCTTATCGTCATTAGATCTAATTTTACGGCTGCACGCACGCGTCCCCTCATGCCGGCTCGACCGATATTTCCTCTCCCGGGTTATTTCAAACATCGCTGAGTTCAACGGCAGTGTGTATCTGCTCCGATTCACCAGTCAACACGTGACATCAATCCGTTCAGATAAGGTCCGCTCTCACGAAATTCTGTCGTTTAATTAAAGAAATTTTAAGTCCTTAATATTTAGTTTAAATTTCCCTATTGACGGTAGGCTTAGTCTATGTTTATCAGCATCCGTGCATGTGCGCGTATATAGTTTTGTCTTGTCGCAGTTTGTATTTTCAGGTTTTTAATGGAGGATTTATAATTTTACTTGATTAGGCCAAATTTATTCAGAATGTTAATTCCTTTGCGCGTATATCGCGTGCCCACAATAAAGTCGCCTGAAATGAGTAGATAAGGAGTAAGATTTCTCTAAGACACGCGGTCTATTGTCAATAAATGCTATCTTAATATAATCATTATTTATATCCCTCCTACAATTGTATTAAATCCGCCGCTTGTCTGTCTGTCTGTCTGTCTGTCTGTCTGTCTGTCTGTCTGTCTGTTTGTCTGTCTGTTTGTCTTTCTGTCTATCTGACTGTGGTCCTTCTGTTGATGATGGTTAAGAAGAAGACAGCGACGAAAACGACGATGACGATAATAATAAATATGATCCTGGTAAGAATGATGATAATCGTAATAATAATAATAATAATAATAATAATTATTATTATTATTATTATACAGCATACTTGTATACTCTATATACTTATATATTGTATACTTGTATATTCTTGTATACTTGTATACTTGTATAAGTCACGAAAGCGGAAGGTACTTGCGAAATAGAATGCGTGCATAACTTTAAGAGCCATATTGAAATACATGGAACTTTTACAACAACAAAAAACGATAAATGTTTCATATTTACCGCCATATCCGGGACGTAGCCTTTTATCGTATCCATCAAGAAGGCCATCCAGAATTTTCGACATGTTGCGCGCTCTTTCTAATGCATGCCCATTATTACTCTGCGCGAATTTGCTTGTCAGCACACCTGTACAAAATCTGCAGAAAATCAAATCACTGATATGAAATTCTTACTACCATTCCATGCATTCAAGTTGTAACGTGATAAAGACAATAAAAGGCTTGACTACGCCCACGATGACATCGTTTACATTGAGTAATTATGAGTTTAGTGTTTAGTTTAATTACTAGCTTTGATTATCATGCTTTGTTTCCTGAACGTTCGCGTATTTTAAAACAGCATAAATGCACGCAACATCCAATCCGATCCTAGAGCCCTATTTACAAATCGATGTTGTTGCTTCGTAGTCTTTTAAAGGGAGAGCAATAAAATTAGTAATTATGTTTTTTTAAGTAATGGACGCATAAACAAAAATGTTGCTATTTCTAAAATAGGCATGAAGGGGAAAACAAAGACCACGGACTACATGATCAGTTGATGAACTAACAAATTTGAGACAGTTCGCGAGAACAAGTCACACCAGGCCAACGACAGATTTTGTTATTGGTTACCCATTAAGTAATTAGTTATTACATAGTTATACAGTGCGAAGGTAACCAGCAAAAAATAATAAGCCTGGTTCGTGATGTATCGTGTGTATGTATTGAATGATTTAAGAATTAAATCCTGCATTGTTCTTCAGGTAATGATCCCTAACCTCGTCTTCGGACGAGAAACGAAAAATCGATAGTATGATTTTCAATAGCATCGCATAATTTTGTAGTTTCAAATGCTTGAATGCGTGAACCACAAGTTTTAGCAACAGCAATAGCAAAAGCAACAGTAACAACAACAGAAGCAAAAGCAAAAGCAGCAACAACAACAGCAGCAGTAGCCGCAGATACAACAACAGCAGCAGCAGCAGCAGCAACCAACACAACCAAACAGCTCGAGCTAATACACGCAGCTAAAGCTTGTCATACAAGGCTGTACGGGCGCTAGGATATTCATGAGCTTTCATTCCCCTCATATATTATAGAACATTTCTCGATTGTATATTTGAGTTGTAAATGAGTAAAATTGCTCAGCATATAATAGTAACGCTATAGAATATAAGAATCAGTGTAGTTCGCATCGCGATAACGCGTTTCACCACACAGAAGGCCGCAGAGACAGTCGCATGAAACTAAACGACAAACCCTTTCACAATGTGTGCCTACTAGAAAATCCCAAATCAAAACCGCGAGTTTCTCTGTTACACGCATCAAGTGTCTAATTAGAGAAGACTAGAACGGGCCTCGACGAAAATAGTGACAGCGGCAAAATCGGGAGAGGGAGCCTGGTATGAAATAACGCAGTCTCGGCACATGACTATTCTTTTGGAGTCGAGACAAAAATCACGAGGTTGTCTCGACAATACACGTTCGCCGTGTAAACGTTAAAAAACAGTCTACGGCGTAACGAAATATACGACTTATTTAAGGGGTTTTACGGCCTGATAGGAACGAGATCACCACATGGAGTCCGCGTACACTCGGTTTACGACATCGATCTTATCGTTGGATATGAAAACAGATGACAAAACAAAAAACATATACATTTCATGCCTTACAACAGAAAATTATAATTTCCGAAGTGAATATAAAGATTGATTTTATACACTCAGTACTGATGCTCGTCAATGCCACCAGACTCCCCAGATGTCAGCTGCGTGTTTTTCCGCCTCGTATGTTTCTATAGAAGTCATTGGGTGTTCTAGTGTTGAATATGGTTCGCTAGATAACAGAAAATGCCTAGTGCAGATTTCACAGTCTCAGGGTACCTAACATACAGCACTTGTGAATTTCTAGCTTGTGAAGAATTTACAATTTGTTTTGATGAAGGAAGCCCACATTTGAAAAAATAAAAAAAGACATGAAGCCTACCTTTTTTCTAAATGATGACATTGGTGATCAGGACTAGTAGAAGTTAATGTATAGGGTGGGACTTAGAATTTGCCGGGCATGTAACATCTATTATTTATTACTTATTGAAGCTTATCATATTACGTTAGGCCACTCTAGAAATCGTTAACGTAAAAAACTGATATTAAGATATCAGCGAGGTAACGTTTATATCAAGGATATCAAACGTCAACATCGGATATTAAGGATAGCCAGCCAACAGGTCGATGGTCGTTTTAGGAAAAAAGAATTCTTATCGAATCCTTATTCATCGGTCTTAATTTGATTATTTATTTTTTTTCCTTTTCTTTTTTCATACATAACGTTTCGATTATCCTTCCGTTATGCCGGTTACGAGACTATGACAATATAGGTACGGCGGGTTATGACTCTTGCCGCGTCATGGCATATTGCCGCTAGGGCTTACATGCGCTTTCTCTGACTGACTACTGAACTGTGGACCATTATGGGACACATTCTCCCACCACACAGAACCTTACTTTCAGAGGGGCTACCAATGGTCGCTGGTGTGTTGTGTTGTGTGGCTGTGTGTGTGTGGGTGTGGTGACTTCTCGCTGTGTGTGTGTGTGCTGTGCTGTGTGTGGTGTGTTGTGTGTGCATGTCGGTGAGTGACTGCGTGTGTCGTGTGTGTGTGCTGTCGTGTGTGTTGTATGTGATCGCATGTGTGTGTGTGTGGTGTGTATATGTATGTGTGTGTTTGTGTGGTAGCTGTGTGACCTGTGACGTGATATAGATAGATGGCCTGGCTGGTGTGGTGCTCGTGTGTGTTGTGGTGGTGTGTTGGCGCGGGACTGGCTGTGTGTTGTGTGGTGTGTGTGTGTGTGTGTGTGTGTGTGTGGGTGTGCGAGTGTTGTGTGGGCCTGTGGTGTGTGTGCTGTGAGTGTGTGTGTGTGGTTTAGTGCACACTTTATGAACATGCTAATACATCGGTTGTGCATTTGTCGCCTGTACATCGCAAAAAAACGAGATTTGCTTTTCAAAGTGTGCTCGTCATAACTATTAATAAACACCCATTTTTCAGAGACATTTCATTAAATTTATTTTTTTTTTATTTTATCAATTTTTATGTAGATAATACAAGTTGCTCCTTAATCTGCTCACGTTTTCCTGTATCTTCTGTGAAAATTTCACCATCTTCTTATATAATCCGGTGCTGTCTAAATCCATATTAACTCTGGCCATCATTCTTGGCACTACATAATGCACTGTAGTTACTTATACAGATAGCAACAACAGATCGCTGTTTGAACGTTCTTCGCATGTGTTTGCAGCTTCTTCGCTCCGCGATGAACAACAATTCACACGCCTCTTAGACGCCGCTTTCACCTTCGTTCGCGCTTTGCGACTCGTAGCGGACTTTTCGTCGCTCGTGGTCTAGCGTACGAAGATGCCCCTATAGCGCGGCTTCCAGTTTCACGTGAGCGTGCTTCATTTGGCGAAATGATTTCGTATACAATGAATCCCAGTGCGCGCAGGCCTCGCTCGCGTGGAGGTCGCGGCTCCCGCGCTAGCTCGGGCGAAGAGACCCGGGCAAATTATTGCCACCGATGATTTTTCAGAGAGTTTTACCGAGTGCCGGGATTTTTTTTTTTCCGCGACCCGCTGTAGGCCTGAGCTACTTCAGCGGGCAGTGCATTACCGAGCTCGACGCGCTGAGGAGTCGACACGAGACGCTCGTGTGCTCTTTCATCAGCGTCTTCAAGCTATCGTCACCGATTGTGCGCTGCACTAACGCTTAGCAGCTTTCGCTGCGCACATCCTGAGATTTCACAGCAGAGATTACTTCCAACTTCAAATATCTCGTCATTTTTTTCCAAAATGGCAGTATCGCACCGGCGACAAGGTTCAACATGAAATCATACCGAACATCAAATGCCTTGATCGAAAATCACCTACTTGAAAACAGCAAAATACATGTATACAGTGTGCCGATGGATCCGCGAATTGTAGCTATACGCGATAGCAATTTTCTCCGCTGCGTACCAAAAGATTCATGCACAAATTAATATGCGAGGGTATAGCGTAGCATAGCGAGAAGAGTCACATAATTATATCAATACAGATTTAAGATCTTTAACAGCTATAAGCGTGCAACGCTATACCAGAAACCAACTCCAATGCTTTAATAGAAGATGACCTAGTATAACGACTTATCCCCATTAATATACACTAATAACATGTTATATAACAGGATTCCACTATCAACTCTTGTGACAAGAATATATGTTCTCTAAATATTACTAAATAACAATCAAATGTATAATAAATATCACTAGTATTTACTGTATATATATCGTACTAATAATCATGATTAAATGCTCAATCAAATAAACATAGATATAATCAATATAGTGTACAACACAAGTCTAGTATAATACTAGTAGTACGGCAATAGGTATGCTAGGGCCTATTAAGCAGTAGCAACTATAGCGGCGTGCAATATCAACAAATACTCGATCCTTCATATGACAGATAACGCGTTTGGAAGGTAGAAGTTCAAGTTCGTAGTTCAACATGCATTCTGTCCCCACCACACGCCAGTGTCTACGATTATGGGGCGGAAGAATCGCGAATGAACCCACAGCGCAAGTTGTGCTACAGCCAGCCTGACTTTAGCATGGAGAGTCAATTTTGTCAATTACAAGAGCGATATACTGCGGGCACTCGGCAAAAGCCATTTACAGACAGACGTTCTCGACTCTGAATGGAAGGGTGTCTCGCTGAATGGAAGAGTTACATTGAATAATCGATAAGAAATTGATTAGCCCATGGCTAAGCCGCATACTTAGTGCGCTCAGGGCAACTTAATTACCAGAAATATATGTAAGCAATGTTGGCGGCGAGTGGGCTGCAGTGAGAGTACTAATTATTTAGGATAGCCGGCCTCATGCGTCACAACGCGACACGTAAGATGGACAAAGACGTGCAATGTGAGACCAAACCTCCTGTTCTTTAAATATTGATCACTTGCACGCGAGAACGGTTAAGCGAGTGCAACGTCTCTATTATGTAGGCAGACAGGCGTCCTACTCGTGCCCGCAAATGCAGTAATTAACAACGA